ATGTCTAAGGATTCGTTGAAGAGACCGCTCTAAAACGAGCTTGAAAAGTCCCACTCGCCACATTGCGTGCCACAGTCGATGGTTCCTCGATGTTTCTGAGGACCCGTATAAACACAAACCAAGGAATTTCAAAAATTGCATGGATGTCGACGATTCAGAATGGGACTGTGCACGTCACTGCATTTTTGTTTTCAAAGAATTGCACCTTGCTCATCCTAGGCAACTCGAAGTCGCTGTCTCCGTAATTTTGGCGCACCCTGTATGTGTCGTCGCAATGAACACAGTCAAACGCTCGTTCGAGTAAACAAGTCACTGTTACGCGGAGAATAAAGGATTAGCCATGAGGAAACTGAATAATTTTATGCGACCTATCAAAGAATAATCAGTCAGTTATAATAGCAACATAAACATTAAACTAAATCTTAACTGAGAACTACTCGTGTTCTACGTTGGAAATTTCTCTTGCAGGTTAAAACGCTAAGGTCTGTCTGTCTGTCCGTGTGTGTGGTACGAAATACGTAGCGCATGGACCAGCAGTCGTCAAGAGTTGATTCTAAGATATGATATAGGGGGTGGGACGGGAACATATTTGGTGGGGGAAGAAAGTGATAACAGCTGATAAGATCGATAAAGGCGCTAGAACGCAAGTGTCGCGAAATCCATAGTGTGCGGTCCAGCGCCACTGAGGCAGTGTCTCTCAAGTATGATGTAGAGGAAGGGGAGGGGGGGGGGGATGGGAGCATATTTGGCGTGGGACAGAAAGTGATAGCCGCTGTTAAGATTCGATAAGGGGCGTCGATGCAAGTGTCCTCACACTGGGTGTCCCCCAAGAGGCCCATCGCGCGGCGAAGGAAGAGACGCAGATGCGGCAAAGGACGAGTCGCAGCGCGTGCTGTGCGATATGAGACGTAGTATGGTACACTCTATTTAACCTGACGCCTAACCGCTACAGTATGCGCTGCGACTCGTCCTTTGCCGCGTCTGCGTCTCTTCCTTCGCCGCGCGATGGGCCTCTTGGGGGACACCTCATCAAATTAATTGCACATGTCCCAGCAGCATTGAGGCGCTGCCTCCAAGATATGATGTGAAGGTGAGACTGGAACAATTTGGCGGGGACAGAAGGTGATAATAGCTGATAAGGGATGATATAAACGAGTAGCTTTGTGCTACTTTCCATTCCATCAAACGAACTTCCGAGTGGCCTGCTGCGTGGACGGCATCGGAGAAATCTGCCCTAGAAACATGGTGTGCTGGTCGTGCTCAATGGGGTCGTCGACGGATCGTATACCATTACGACGGTTTTCCGAAGAAGCGGGTTCCGAGGGGGTTTGCATACTCAGAGCTAAGGTCTCTAACCATAAGAAACTATCCAACAATAAATCGTTCCGAGAATTATGTGAGAACTTCAGTGTGGGGCAAATCTTTTTTCCTTTTCTCTTTTTGCCTTGTGAGCTCGACGACGGTGCCAGATGACGTCATATTCCGGAGACGGAGAAATCGCTGAATTGCGACATGGGCAAAATTACTTTTTCGACACCATGTAGACGTAGAAAGAAGGGGTATCAAGCTAGTAAGGAATCAAGGCGGCCAGAATCGGTGCCTTCTCGTGCTTTCCTTGTATTACTGCAATTATACCAACTGTCCCATTTGTTAAAGGAATCCTCCACGGAAAAAGCTCCGCCCTCATTACCACAGAAAACGATACCTTAAAGGAATCTTCCACGGAAAGAGTGATCATTTTGTCTTGTGTGTAGGATTAGTATTATCGAAACTAACGCTTATGTTCCGTTCTTTTTGCTATGCTCATGAGGCTAGGGGCCTAAGGGGTATCGTTTTTCTGTGGTAATGGAGGCGGAGCTTTTTCCGCGGAAGATTCCTTTAATTACAATTATTGGCTAACTGCCTTTTTCACTCTTTTCCAGAGTTCCTATTCTTTACAGCTCTGGTCGCACTTGTTGCTGTCATTGCTCATTATCTAAAGGGGGCATAGCTCCAAGGGTAAAGGTGATATAGAGGCAAGGTCCCGTTTCATCCCGCATTGAGATAAAACACGGGATGAGTTCCGCTTGCATTAACCGAGCATTCCTTTTCTCACTCGGATTCCTTTAGGTGGCAACTCTGAAAAGCACAATCTCATCTATAACGAATTAACCTTTTTAGTCTCATATCTTTCGCATTGTCGTTTCCAAGTGGTGGGGAAGTCACTTCTCTTCCTTCGCATGCGTCAACCTTCATTATTACAGAATGTACACTCAACTGGTGGCTACTGTTGTGTTGATTACCTGCAGCACAATTGCGGTAAGTGGAGGCAGCCTTGAAGATGGTGGATACTCTGGTGATTCAATTCAAAACTATGGTGGGCCCTCATACGAGCCAGACCAGAACCCTGCCAACTCGCCACAAGCGCCGAGTGGGGAAGTGATTGCTACGAATCAAGGTCCTGGTAACTTGCCTCTGAATCCGGCAGGAGCACCTGGAGTAGGATCGATGGAAACAAATCAAGACTCTGACAATCTGCCTCAGGGCTCCAGCGAGGAAACGAATGAAGTAACTGTTACCATTTGTTCTATTTACTATTATTTTTCAAGAGTGATTGGTGTTCATGGGCGACTGTCGCTTGATGTCCCGGTTCCTGCTCACCACCTGCTCTCTTCTCAGTGGCTAGCAACTTGGATTCGAGATTCGGGATAACAGGTGTGGAAAAGCGTTCAGTTATGAAGCTATAGGTGGGAGGTGGTCTGGAAAAGAGAAGGAAAGCAAACGAAACCACCGATTACGCCCCGCACAGAGACCTCCCCTATTTCAGCCGCATTCCACCTTGGGATAGAGAAGGGACGAGTTTCACGAACCTAACTAGTTGCCCCAGTGCCAATGACATTGGGTTGCAATCAGGGTCAACCGTCCGTTCGAACTGTTCGAACGAAGGGGTCGCATTTTGGTCGGAAGGGGGTCGCAATTTCGAGGACTGCCAGCCACAGGCGCGTGCGTGGCGTATCCGAGGGCAAGAATTGTTTGTGCAGACCGCATTAGATTCGATTTATTATGCACAGAGAGACAGTTTTAGGCAAATTACGGTGTTTTCTTGAGGAATAAAGAACAGTTGAATGCATCCCTATGAAAGGTTTGACTTCTCGGGGCTGAAACAAAGTTCTTTGGAGACCTATTTTTGGGGACGCTTCTTCCAGACAACTGTAAACACATAAGAAGCAGAAATCTCGTAGTCTTCAAAAATGTCTTCGCCCCTCCCCAACAAGCTCTTTGAAGGAAGTTATTATTGCTGAAAGCTCAAAAACTCGCATGTGCTGCTCAAAAACCTATGGGAACAAAATGTTCGAACGTGTGATTTTCTCGGAAAATGAATTTTGAAAAACGGTTTGGTGCTTGTTAGAAAGAGCAAATCCTGTACTTTCACCCCATGAAAAAAGTGCATCACAGAAATGAAAATGAAGTGAGTTATGGTCGCTGAAAGCCCAAAAACTCGCTTTTGCACGGAAAATGTTCGAACGGGACAATTTTTTGAAAAAGGGGACAATCACTAAACTTTTTATACTGTTTTGTTAGAGAAATATTTGAAGTTTCTGAAACTTTTTACAGCTTTCCAAAATGTCGCATACGAAAGATATTATGGGCCTTCAAAGTTGAAGGTGCGCCTTCTTAGAATTTTGGGTTTTCCACTTCTAACAGAAGTACTTTCCGGAGAGTTAGGCAATCCTTGTAGTTTTCTGAAAGCGCACCTCAGGCACAATCAAAATCTACCTCAACAAGTCAAAAAAGTACGTCCCAAGAAAGTTATTCCCCTCTAAAATTTTTTCTTCGCCGCGTCCCGTTCTTCCAGCGCCCGGGTGATACCTGCCGCGCTCCAAGGCTGACGCCGCAACGCACGGCGCAGACGCTTTCTGGCGCAACGGATTCATGTCTAGCACTCTTATTAACAAAAACAGGGGGTCGCAACTGGACCCCCTCGAGAGCTAGGGGGTCGCAAAAATCCCGAAAATGTTCGAACGTGACGGTTGACCCTGGTTGCAATGGGACCGCTGCCTCAAATGCGCCCGCGCTTTTCAAGCAGCGCCACGTGGCAACCGACAGCGGAGGGTGGGGCTTGCGGACGAAGGTGTGAGTTGCGGGTCGGACGAGCTCTGTCGCGCACTTTCAAGCGGCAAAAGGGGCGCGACATCAACGCTTGTCCGCCTGTCTACTACCCCGGGATGGAAGAGGCGGCGCAATCGATTACGGAGCGTGCATTTGACCACACGAACATGAAAACTTCGCAAGCTGTGAGTCACTAACCGATCAGATGGATTGTTCAGGCGCACGGGTCGCGATTAGTTCTTTAGAAATTCTTCCCTTGAGCGATTAGTTGGACCTCTAATTATGTTGGTTGTGGTAGTGTCACGACTTGACAGTGCGCAACAGGGAGCTTCGTTGCAACCGCTGCCACTCATATCAATAGCGACATATACTCGATTTCGGAAGACGAGAAGAAAATCGAGTGCAGACCACACATCATAAGAGACGACGGCCAAGAGAAAAGCGGCTTTTTTTCTTGGCCGTCGTCTCTTATGGTGTGTGGTCTGCACTCGATTTTCTTCTCGTCTTCCGAAATCGAGGTTACCTACCGTTTGCGCCCTCTTGCTTACGACGCGCTCTACCGCATTTCCACCTCCCCCTCACAACGCCATATATCTCCATCACACCGTGGCCGAACTCGCAAGGGAAACTTCAGTGTTTTCAGCGATACTTTCGGTTTTCACTCTCACTAACGTCCCTCATTGCACTTCCTTACTAGTTATCAAACAAAATGAAAAGCAGTTCGATCCCTACACGGAATTTTGCTTTTGGCATTACTAGACAAATTCATAGCTTTCCTTACAATCTCTCTTTGAATTTCATCAGTGCAAAGATCACCACAACTACCTAAGCTGTTGTCCACCAATCGTTACGAGGTGGAGAGGGTGGGACGAATTTCTGATAAAAAATGCGCTTGTACTGAAAATCGCTGGTGTCACCTTCGAGAGGAGCCTTGAATGATGACAGTTAGCGGGTTTTGCCTATGACATGAACGCCAACATCAACGCGCAAAATAGTCGGGGGCACGTATGTAACTTGCGGTCAGTAGCGGTTTAGCGCTTCACAGAAATAAAAGGTCCAGGACTTGAAGGGAAAAAACTTCCATAATTCCCAAATAGCTCAATGTGTTGTGACAAGTTAGGCCTCGGTTTGAAAAATGGTCAGAGGTTTTTTATGATAAAACCTCATACCGAGCGAGATAGATGACATTGTCTGACTTCCAGAAGGCGCGCATACAATGTATAGTAGGAAATGAGAATATGGGGGGGGGAGTATATTTACACTTAACAGTCAAATGTTTCTGTCTGCAGACTTTCCTTTTTTCAAAATTTCACAGTAGGCTAGCAATCTAAAAGGAAACCCCGTGGGAACGGTTTTTCGTGAGCTGAGGATTAGATTTGTCACAAAAAAACTTCCATTTACAGAGAACAAGTGATTTTTCAAAAAAGAAAGTGTTTAAAGTTAGAAAGCTCAATATTCTATAACTATCTTAGTGTCTTTCGAAACAACTGCTCCACTTATGAATTCGTAAGCTATTATGTCCTTCGGAAAATCGTAAATTAATTCCTAAGTCCAGTATATTCCTCCAGAATCTTTGAGTGTTCAGATTTTTACGTGTTATTTGTGTGATAAATCACATCTTCCAAGAGGAAATTATTGAGTTCGAAAAACCGACATCACACTGTATTTACCATATAACCTTTTGGCCGAGTTCAGAAACTTCTGTTTCCCATCGGTCGCACAGTGACAAAAATAATAGAAAATCTTCCAAACCCTAGATTGTGCTGAAATGCACCCCAGAGACTCATATTAACTCACCAAATCGGCTAACCGGCTCAGCACGTTATACGTGTGAGTGCTGACAAGCTATGGTAAGTATACCATGAAAAGCTGAGTTGGAATGAAATGGTGCCCCGGTAGCGTAACTGGTAGCGCACTTGCCCGGAAAGCGAGAGGTGCGGGTTCTAGTCCCGCCCAGGGTCAACCCTATCGTTGTTACTCTTTGGAAATTTTTTACGACCCCCCCCTTCATGGGTGATTTGATACGACCCCCCTTGTATGTGACACTTGTGTAGAGACAGTGTTTACCATCAATATTTATTTCTACGTAAGTCATCAAAGATGAAACTTTAGCAAAATCCACGACAGATATTCATCGCTGCTTCCAAACACGAAAAAATGAGATGCATTCAAAGATATCCGTGTACTCCAAAGGGTTACCAAACTAGGAGATGAAATAAACTGAACCAGTGACCGGAATATTGACAATATTACCTGATAAAAACTTATGAGAAGTCAGAAAAAATTATCGCTCCAATTGAAATACTGAAATCCTTCACGTTCTTCAATTGCAACACAATTTTTACACCCCTCTTTCTAAGGCTATAACTTCCTTCATATTCGAGCTTCTGCGCCGAAGTGATTTGATTTGGAAAATTCAAATTATTCTCTCTCCAACCATGGGTAAAAATTCTTCGAAAGTTAATTTAATAAAAATTTAGTACGTTGTTACTTTTTTCTGTGCAAAGCGACTTTTTGACCTTCAAACGATCATAACTTCCTTCAAAGTCATTCATTTGGGAAGCTGAACACGTATAATAAACTACAGGATTCAAGCTTTCTAACGAGCACCCAAGCGTTCCTGAAAGATCAGCAGTTCAAAAATTAGTCCCGTTGTTACTTTTTATTTTGAGGGGTATTCTTCAAGCCATTTTCTCGAAAACGCGAGTTTTCTTAGGTTTCACTGCCCGTAACTTCTTGGAAGACCAATTTTATGTTTAATTTAGGATGTGCTAGAAAGCTCCGAGCATGCGCTTGCACTACATCCCTTGCCTTGGTGCGCGCCACGCCTTCGGGGTCACAATGGCTCACCGCTCCAGCAGTTTATAACGTGTGAGGTGACAAGCATGCCTCAGTATACCCACATCGAACAATCGAGCATTGAAGAAAATGTCCGGTTAAGCGCACTAACTGGTAGCGTACTTCCATGAAAGCGAGAGTCGGTTCTAGTCCGCTGGAGGGGCGAAAGTTTGTCACAACCACATTCTTCGTAAAACTTCACCAAAAATCTTTCCAGTAGGAAACAAGGAATGGTTTTCATGGGGGTTGCATTATTTCGCAGAACCGCTTGATGACAGTGTTTGCAAAAATATTATTCGTTCAGGGAAGGAAGCGAACAATTGACCTGAACGATATGATCATCAACGCAACCCGCCTTGAAACGCGACTTCGTGGACATTCGACGCAAGCGGTTATAACGGTATGGATTCAACATAACTGTGCATCCCTTGTATGACTTCTAAAAGTATTGGTTTCCGACAAGAAAGCGCAGTGCTGGTATACTCCCACCTTATCTCCCGCTAGCCTCTATCTAGTTGGCCGTCTTTTGAAACAAAGGTGTGCACATTTGCAGCAAGCGCAACTTCGTTAACAGGCGCTTCGACCTTCGTGGATCGTACTAATCTCATTTATTAGTCACCTGCTTGGCTTTGGGAGGTGTTTTGGGTGTGTCAGCGTTTTTAAGCAGAACAAGTGAAATAATCTTGCTTATGGAGTCGAAATACTTTAAGCAGAACAAGTGAAATAATCTTGCTTATGGAGTCGACACCTGGGCATGGGCAAAGTTTTAGCCAGTGTGAAATTTCGATCTAACATCGAAAAAGCAGGGCAGTCATTATTAGCAGGCAGTATTATTCATCCCCGCAGGCAATTGCTCGAGATCTGTCCAGCCACAAACGACCTCTGGCGTTCTGTTTGCGAGTAATGCAACATGTTTCTGAGATCGAGAAACGATTGGGCCAGAACATGTTTTTCAAAAGCATGAGCAAACTTCATTCCATCTGAAAGCAAGGTTTGAGGATAGGTTGATGGTTAGCTGACGATTAGGTGGCTATCCATTTAGGGGGGCTTCCACGATAAGAACGAACAACGAAGAAGGGAACTCACCTAGTGAAAGGACAGACGGATCCTCTAGGTGAACGGACCAACGGATACTTGACAGCTCCGTCGGCCGTCGCGCGGCAAGAAGGCAGGTCAGCGGACGAGTCGCAACGCACTATATTTTTCCGTCAAGTTAAATAGAGTGTACCATTGCACGTCCTACATCGCACAGCACGCGCTGCGACTCGTCCGTGACTCTGCATTCTTGCCGCGCGACGGGCCTTTTGTCGGGTGCCCCGGACCAACACGCAATTCCCATCGGAGGATATGCCCCAGATGACTTAGCACACCCGTACCACTGCTGTTGCAATAATTTGTTTCGTAACTCCATCGTGGAGCCGATTGGCAGATTCGGAGTAGACTCTAGTTCAGCGTTCAAGCGTGCATGCCATTGCACAGATCTCATTAGATGTGGCCACTTCGATCTTAACTTCTTCCCAAATTCTTCTTCACCAAGCGCCAATTGAACTTCAGTAAGGTAGAAGGTGGTGCCCGTTTTATGCAGTTTCGAGAACATGAGATGAGAGGCTTGCCCCATTCGCCTGATCTCTTCTGCCATCGCATATCAGTCGACGAATTTCTTTCCAGGAGCTGATATCTCGTCTACAGCGTATCTCTCCGTCAGATGTACGGATGCTGGCGAACCCTCAGCGCCCTAGCGATAATGAGTTGGTGGACAGTGTACTTGTAGCTAACAATCTCATTAAGTGAGTTTTCCATTCTGAATTCCTATCTCTGACATCAAAAATTATCAACTTCATAATAGTGAAAAGATTAGGTGCCAAAATTTATTAAGTCTCATTTTGAATAACAATTTTTCAGCATCATGATAGCAGCATCAGATGAAGAACTTTTCCGTCGGCCTCCAAATGTCGGAGCGCTTCTCCTCGCTTCTAATGACATCGACAATTACATCAGAACACATCAGCGCAACTCCAGACAAGAAGATCGCCAATTCTGAATTCAATCTACACCAGTAATTCATTGATCGCATACTTTGAAAGTCCTACACATCTGCGGCATATGGAGACTAGAGGAGTTCTTTTGAAATAATTCCTAGTAAA